AGCAAGGGTGATGTGGTAAACCACCAGGGCAAATAGACCTCTTCAATCATACATTCATTACCTGCTATGTCACATTTCCAAAGTGTTTGGGCCTTAGCTTCACTTATTATTACTATGCCTGTGATTTGTCTAAAGCATGCATGGTGCTGTGCAGCCCTTGCATCATGCCGACATGGTCAAATTGAAGCTTGAGCTCTGGCAAGCTTCCACTCACAATCTATCCAGCCAGGTCCAACCAGCAACTGCCAGCCCCCCAGACCCAATGCACAGTCTATCCCCTGCAGCCCATCCAAGTGATAATACTGATTATTGCCTGGCTTGGCAGTGGCCATGCTGTGAGTGTGCAAGCATGCAGGGCACATGGGGCACATTTTTTTCCATGTCCATTGCCAAAGCTCTAGCTGCATGAGGGTCAGCAGCAATGCCTCAACACCATCCAGACTCATCTACACCCAAAGGCCATGCAGGCCCACCCAGTAAGACATGGTGTCTGTCAGTGTGGACTTAAAAACCCTAAGTGCCAATGAATTGAAATGCAAATGCAAGCCCAGTTGCTTCATGCCAGAGTGCAGGGCAGCCAAACTGGGATACATTGATACCTGGGCCACTGGGCTTAGAAGCCTTCATTGGTACAACTGGCCTCATGCATGGTCCACCACAACCTGCTTTAGCCAAGGTGCACAATCCCAACCACAAGGCCCAGCAAACATATATCTGGCAGCATAGCACCAATCAGCCTCAGAACTTGGCAACTATAGGAGGGCTGGGCACCAGTGGTGCCACCAGGCTCCAGTAAAAGCTATTGCAGCCAAGGGGCCACAAATAAATATGGTATTGCATCCAAAAATAGCAGCCTGCCCACCAGGTGGACCAGGGTGCCAAATCAGCCTCAAGATGTGAAGTGCTGCCAGTGGGCACCATCCACCAGCCAGTCACAAACTGCACAGCTATACTGTCCAAGCAACTGTAAGGTGAGGGAAGTCCATAAATGGCATGCAAAATGGCCAACTGCATAGGCTTGGCTACACTCCTAAATTTTCTGTTGTGGTTGAACAAGTACCTTTCAAGTCCAGCATGGGCAGGCAGATATGACAGCCAGCCTGAGGCATGTTGTGTCACATGCAGCAAGCTGGTCTCCATGTAAGGTGTCATCTTGCCAATTTCAAACCAAGCCCCAATAGGTGGATCATAGCAGGGCCACATCTTCTGAATCTCAGCCTCAGAATGCACAAGCCACAAGCTGACCAAGTGCACACAAGTAGCCTGCCCCACTGGACCCACACCTACTACTTTGCATACAAGTGGCATCCTCCATTTTGGACACAGGTGTTGATGGCTTCTTTTTGACCTTGGCTTGGGCACCACCAAGCATCAATCACCCAGCATTCCATGTTGCCTATTCTTGCTTGCAGCTGAAACCATTTTTCATGTCACCAAATGCTGGCAAATGGCTGCAGCACCATCTTTCTTAACCTTGTTGGCCACCATTTTTCCAAGGTCACCCAGTAGCAGGTGGACAGGCTTGAGCACCCTTTTCAAAACTACAGGTTGGACATGCCATACCACACTGGTGCCAAGTTTTGCACTGCCATGTTTTGTGAATTCACTGCCAGTGCCCAATGTCTGCACAACTACCTATGCAACACCTGTGAACTGCATGCCTTCTGACTGACAACACTATGCTTTTGCCAGCTTTTCCAGACTCCAAGGCTCTGATCAATGACACTGGTGGCCATGCATCAGAAGTCATCCTGAGTTGATGGCACTGCATGGAAGGGTGTGGCTTTTGGTGTGGACAAAACCAACCCAACAGAAAACAACAGAACAACCATCACCACAGCAACATTCATCCATCACATTATGGATCACATAGAAGTTGTCAGCACATATCATCAACACCATCATCAAAACCACTTACCACCATATTAAATTTTAAATGCATATTCAAGTTGCCACTGGTGTAGCCCAAGCTGTTGACCACCACCATTGTGTCATTCAGCAATTCTCATACCTGAGCTTCACCCAGGTCACCTGAAACCAAACCAATTTCTGCAACTATTATTCTCTCTGTGCCATGGCTGCAGTGTATATGATTACATGACAACATATTTTTGCCAGGTACTCAAACCAGGAATAGAGTCATAGTACCAGTTGCTCTTATCATTTGCAGTGTAATTGAGCTGCTCTTCAATCACATTGGCAATGCCATTTCCAGTCTCATGTAAGGCTTCCAGGCCATACTGTTCATGTAATGTGATCAAACTCTGGGTGGTCTTCATGATGACTTCCTCCCTGCTCACATCCTGGCCCCCACCAATGGTGATAAACAGCACCAGTTGAGTGCTTGCAGGCACCCATTCTCTCCACCCAGAGGTGAAGCACCAGACAAACCATAGCCACCCACCCCAGCTGTGCCATTGTCCAGACATCAAAGGGTCATTGCCTGAAAACTTGGGCACTGCTGAGGACACCATGATGGGCCTCAGATAAGGGGCAAAAAGTGCTGTTAGTGGTGGACATTGGTGGGGACAGCTTCACTTCCTGAACACAAGCTGAGAGACACTGTAGTAGTGGGATATACCAAATTGGGCGATGCTAAATACAGATCCCTGAGCCTACAGCTGCTAGTAGTGACACACCATCATGCCTTGCACAACTGCTGCTACTGCTGTCATGCATTCAACTGATATGTGTTATGGTTTATGTTTCATTCTGCATGTTGTGTCAATGCTCTGCATACTCAGACTGCTTCAGCTGTTTTTTTTGCATCATCTGCATCCAAGGTCTCTGGTCACTGGCACATAGTATTATAGCCCAAGATCCTAGGCTGTGGCAGGCACAAAAGGACCACTTCATTCCATTCCCACTGTTCATTTCATTTTATGACACTCCATTTCATTTAATGACATTCCATTTCATTCCATTTCATTCCATTCTATTCCATTTCATACCACACTAGTTCACCTCCCTGCACCACCATTTGGCCCCCCAGGCCACCATGGTTTCATCCAGCATTAGTCCAAAATAAGCAAACATTAGCAAACATTAGCAAAAATTAGAAAAAATTAGAAAACATTAGAAAACATTAGAAAAAAATTAAAAAAAAAAATCTAAAAAATTCTTTTGTGGATAACCTCTTTTTTCTTGTTCTTTCTTCCCTGGTTTACTGCTAGGGGAAGGAAATGCTGCCCTTTTTTTCCCAGCATTGTTTTTTTTACACCTTAGAGAAATTTCTTATACCCCCCAAACCAGCCAGCAGGCCAGCTATCATATTATTTTTACTCAGATGACATATTCATTTTACACCTGTAATTCAAATATATATATATATATATTATGCAATACCCTTTCTATTTCTTTGACATTGCCCCCCAGCCCTGGAGCCAAGCTGCCTGTGCCCCTGCCAGCACAACATCGAAGATATGGCCAAATTGGCCATCAAATACATCCTCATGGCCAAAGGCTGGCAGCCACCAAGACTGAAGCAATGAAAGAATGAACATGCCCCAGTGCATGAACCATGAAAATAATAAAACATAAATGACAACAAGGCTGCATGACTTGTGAGCCTTGTGAACATCATCACCCAATTCCACAAGGAAAGCTGGTCACCCACTTTAGTTGCAGCCAGGCACTGCCAAGTCCTGCCAAATTGGCACCACAGCTGCCAACAGCCTCAGATGTTTGCTGGGCCAGTAGACCAGGCAAATGACAGGGCCATCCTGCAGCAGCCCTTCACCAAACCCATTCATGAAGAATACATGCTGAACCCAAACCCATCATTCCACCTCTGGACCATGCCCCTGCTGATGCCACCCCTTTTTTTTTGCCAAAACTTGCCCAACACATCCAGAATCCCATCAAATGAGCTGCTGCTTTTCAATGTAATATGCTTTTAGCAAATGACACAGGCAGGTGCAGCATTTTGTACATGGAAGTTCATTTGAACACCCAGTCAAGCAGGACACAATTGTGGTTGAGTAGATCTTGGTCAACTGCATCTGATCCCTGCCAGAGTGCACCTTACCAAACTGAGCATCCTTGACAAATGGGATCAAGCCATGTTCCCCTGGAATCCACTTGATTGTGTCATTGGAGCAATCCTTCTCCACCTCTAGCAGCTTAGGCCTCTTAACTGGTGGCTCCACAGTCACAGGCACTGATGGCTGTGACAATGCAAATTGCCCCTCACCACTCCCATCATCCACATCCACAATGCTGGCTTCTACACTGGATGTCACTGAGTCAATCTGAGTGCTTTCTGTTGCCATGGCAGGTATCTTAATATCTTGCACTGCACTAGTCTGCACTATCTTTGGGCCAGCACCTGCAATTTCAGAACATCATGAGTATGATGTGGTTTGCTTTCATGCCACCACCAATTTACATAACAGAATATCAAATGAACATACTTCTCTTTGTCACAAACTATACCACATGTGCATCACTAGCACCACACCTTGGGTCCAACAATTCCATTTCAGAGAAAATCATGGTCTATTGATCACCCCAACACCAACATATCAAATGAACATAGTATTTGTCACTAACCATACCACATGTGCATCACTAGCACCATAATAGGCCAAATATGGTTCCATGTCAAGAACAGATTATCTGGGCTATGTCATAATGATTTGGTCACCCAGCCATAAATATCCAATGCGCATATATATTTATGTATGCAGGTATCATTATATATACATACATGCATACATGTCCAGATATCCATCATATGTTTTCTCTACAGGTGTAATTATTCAATCCTGTAGGCTGCCATGACATGACCTTCTTGCTGCCCCCCTCCCAGTCCCAAACAACAACCCAAGCCAGGCAACATCCACTGGGCATAGCAGGCTGTAATAACATAGCAGCCTCACTTCTTTGCCTGGGTACCTTAATGGTCAAAGCTTGGGGTGTTGGGTGAAAAGTGAGCATGCAATAATGAGGAAGTGTGACATTCATGCTGGGCCATGGCAAAGGTAGAGACCTACTGCTGACTAGTTGCCAAACATCTTGGCCACAGCATCCTTGGTCTCCTGAGAGGGAGCCTTTGGCTTCAGGCTTGACTGTGCTGCCTGGGCATGATGTAGCAATTTCAACCTCATTTCCTCTGCCTCTTTCTTCTGCCTTGCCTCCTCCTCTTGCTTCATCTTATCTTCTGCCTCTTTCTTCTGCCTTGCCTCCTCCTCCTGCTTCATCTTCTCTTCTGCCTCTTTCTTCAGCCTTGCCTCCTCCTCCTCCTGCTTCATCCTGTCTTCTGCCTCTTTCTTCAGCCTTGCCTCCTCCTCCTGCTTTATCTTATCTTCTGCCTCTCTCTTCAGCCTTTCTTTCTCCTCCTGGTTCATCTTCTCTTCTGCCTCTTTCTTCAGCCTTGCCTCCTCCTCCTGCTTTATCTGATCTTCTGCCTCTCTCTTCAGCCTTTCTTCCTCCTCCTGCTTCATCCTGTCCTCTGCCTCTTTCTTCAGCCTTGCCTCCTCCTCCTGCTTCATCTTATCTTCTGCCTCTTTCTTCAGCCTTGCCTCCTCCTCCTGCTTTATCTTATCTTCTGCCTCTTTCTTCAGACTTGCCATCAGCCTTGCCTCCATCTCCTGCTTCATCTTCTCTTCTGCCTCTTTCTTCAGCCTTGCCTCCATCTCCTGCTTCATCTTCTCTTCTGCCTCTTTCTTCAGCCTTGCCTCCTCCTCCTGCTTTATCGTCTCTTCTGCCTCTTTCTTCAGCCTTGCCATCACCTCCTCCTTCATCTTGTCTTCTGCCTCTTTCTTCAGCCTTGCCTCATCCTCCTTCTGAATCCTAATCCTCTCAAGCATTTCCTTCATGGCTGCCTCCTCTTCCTTTTTCTTCATCTTTTGCTCAGCCTCCTTTATGCCTGCTGCTGCTGCTGCATCCATCTGGTTCTTGTTGCTCCCAGGCTGGCCCAGGTTGGCCCTCAGTTGTTCTTCCATTTCCTTCCTGATCTTGGCCTCAAGTTCTTTCCTCACCATCTCCTCTGCCTCTTGTCTGGCCCTCTCTTGCTCTGCCTTGGCCTTGGCTTCAAGCTCCTGCTGCTTTTGTATCTTTTCTAGTTCCTTGTTCTGCAGCTCTTGCTTCTTCTGCTGGACAAGAGCCAAGGTCTCCTTTCTCATTTGCTCTTCAACTTCCCTTCTCACCCTTTGTCTCATTTCTTCCTCAGTTTCCTGCTTGTCTTGGATGGGCTGTGCACCTGCAGCAATGGAAATTGAAATGGCAAGGTGTTTTTCAAGCTGGGTAGTCCAAGCTGGGTGGTGGCATGTTTTTGCTCAGGTCTAGCTGCTTGACCACTGCAGGTCAAACCTGTGAGCCCACATCAAAGTTGAAGTTTCAAACCCAAGTAAGTAGGCAACTATTATGGGTATCAAGCAAACATTACCTGCAACCATCCCCCCTGGCCTCCACCTGCACTCTTCATGGCCTTCAAAAAGCCACACTCCAAGGTCTGCTGCACTTGTCTTTGTGGCTCAAATTCTTCTGGTACAACCTTCAGACTGAGGAATTGTTTGGCCCACTCCTCACTTGGATTGGCCTTTGCACATTCCACCTCAATGCAGGGCACCATCACCACATCAGCACCACCATCATCACCATCATTGCCATCACCACCAGCACCACTATCACAATTAACATTAATCTTCACCATCAAGTCAGGTTGTCAAGGCCACCATTACCTCAATACTACTATTAATTATTAACCCACCATCAACACCCACAAATTATTATACCCACCTGGTGAACTTCACACTAACACCAACTGTAACAAGAAATGATGGCAGCTATTAATGGTGCCATCCATCACCCCTCATCTTCCATCCTCCTGGCAATCATCACTATCAATTTGTCTGATCACAATAAGCACCATATCTCACCATGATGCACTCCATCTCCATCACCATCCATTCATCTCCATCAACAACACCTAATCATGTGTATGTATCATGGTTCACTTTAAAGATTACAATTCAGGTGCATGTCCTCTGGCCACCCAAACCACCCATCCAATTTGGAATGAGGCCAAGTTGCCAAGCTCTTCACCCATTCACCATAGGTCACATCTGATTGGAAGAGCTCTTGGCAGTCCCAAATCCTGTTCTCTGGTGGTGGCCCTTTGATCACATGCCTCCAAAACAAGAGCAGGCAGGCAAACATGGCTGCCATGTCATGATGTCATGGGTGTGACACCTCACAAAGAAGATTATTATAATATCAGATGCTATGTACTACACATATCTGGACCAACATGAATTACATATTATGAACTATCTAGTGGGTTACTTACTCATTAGACTCCTTAGACAAAGCTGTGCTGCACAGGTCCTCAAATCAGCACCCCTGCAACCTGACTGGTCTCCCTACCTAACCCCTGCCTTCCATTCTGATAAGTCTTCAAAGCAGGGACTCCAGAGGGAAAAAGGAATTTTGGCTTGGCTCCTCAGGTCAGGCTACCAAGTCATGACAATACCAGTTACTTACTGTACCACTTACCTGCACTATTAAAAGGTCAAACCACATCAAACACATGCACCCACCACACCTGCACACAGTTGCATTTGCAAACAAGTCTCCTTCCTTGCTGAACAACCAGGTATCTCCTGACTTCGATATCTCCACATAGTGCTGGGGTCTGAGGTCTTGCCCTGCCTGAGCCCAATGCACTTCCCCCCCACCCAAGAAATCTGGCCCTCACAAGTCATTTAATAAATGCATTCTGCTGCATTACTCCATTCAATGGTTCAAACCCATGCTTGACAAGGCTTCCCAGGCTTCAATCAATCCAAGGCACCTCAGCCTGGTGAGGATACTTCCCATGGAAGACATCATTCCACCCATATCTGTTGGCCACTTCTTCCTGAGTGCCAATGATGCTGGCTGGGTAAGTGGCCAAGTGAATTGAAAAGATGATCAGGCACTGCATGTGGCATGGCCCTACAACAACTCAGAACTCATTATATTATATTTATCAATAAATATTTGGTGGGCCACTTCCATATTGCCACAACAATGGGACATTTGAACCATGTATTATGTGTCAATGATCATTCAATGAGACAGAAGCCAAAGGTCAATGTTCTTGTAGTCCAGGCTGACTTCATCCCATCTCTTTTTCCCAGCATTCCTCTCTTCAAGCCTTTCTTTGGCCTCTGCCAGCTTTTTCTTCCTGAGTCTAAACTGGGGCACTCTGAAGTGTCTGAGTCTGACATGTCACTGTACAGTGAACTTCATGACCATCATGTCAAGACTGTATGTTATTATGTGCATTGCATGCATTATTTAAGAGAACATCTGCCATGTGACAATGTAAAGCTAGCCAGCAAATCATATAATCATTATTTATTATTATATTTGTCTGATTTGAGTATGATGGTGTCTCTGCACTGTCAATGTGTCTATGTGATATGGACATATTAAAAACTATTACTATAATCTACCTTCTGATTCACCATCTCTTCAGGCTTCAATGGTTCCACAGCCCAACCACTGCCACCAAGACTCAGTTCACCTCTGTTGCCTGCTCGAAGTTCTTTGACCCTAAGAAAAGGTGGTAGGCCAGTGAGCAAGTACAGGGCCATACCAATCTCTGTGTCTGTCAACACCTGCCTCTGTCCTGAGTGGTGGTGGGCAGGCACAACACTCTTTTGATAGTTGGTGCCATTCATGCTGCTCACATGTTCAATGCACACATAACTGGGCCCAGAATCCATCTGGGAAAGCATGGGGGTCCAAATACTTGAGATAGCGCAACAAGTCTCTCCTCCACACATTTGCAATGAACAATTTTCTAGCACTTGTCAAAGTGAAAATAAAGGCCAGCCAACCACACACTGTAGCAACAAACTGACAACACCAAGTACTCCAGCAGATTAAAAAACAGTTATTATATCTACCACATCTCCTTGGCATAGTGTTCTGACCACCAGTCTTCCCAGCAGTTCTGGCCAACTGGCACTTTGGAACCTCCCTGGAATCAAGCTGCTCACCTTAGCCATGACAATGCTACATAATGAGAATGCCATGGCCTCATGAAAGAAGACAACTGGACATGTTGGAATTCAGGCTGCAATATCTACATATATAATATAAATACATATATTATAATATATACATATATATACATATATGTAATTATACATAATATATATATTATATACATATAAATATATATATACATATAATAATTATATATCTGAACTTCAGGCTGACCAATAAAGCTGCCAAGAAACTTGGGGCATCATCAGAAGATTCCCTCTTTTTGCGCCCTCAGCCAGTGCAAAGGCTTACACAAAGATCTATTGGCAAAGCACCAGGCATGGCTATGTCATGTAAACTAATATCATAGGTAAACTAACCATATTTCCAAACACTAATCCATTAGAGAGCCAGCACACCCCCATCACATGACAGCACAGCCCAGGCCCAAACAATCAATGACATGCAAGTAGCTTTTGGAATTCTTGTCCTTCTTCTTGTCCTTCTTCTTCTTCTTAGTCCTCCTTCTGCTGGAACTGGACCTGAAGCTCTTGCCATGAGCCATGCCATCCAGTTACATTGCTGCTTGCATCACCAATTACAATTGGCCACACACAATGATTAAATGGTTGAATTGAATCAATGATGTAACATTGAGTTCAAGTTTGATTTTATCCCCCTTCAACTCATGTATACCATTAAATGGTTTAAAAATAAGGTAGACTCAGACTCATATTTAAATGATTTATCTTATTTACAGAATTTATCTCATTGATTATCTCCTTTAATTCATCTCTTTTATCCCCTTTATCTTTCAATTCAAATCACACACATTCCATCCAAGCATCTGAGATGAAGAGTCCTCATAGCCTCAGACAGCACACACAGTTGTCACAAACAGAATACATGGACCAACCCCCAAGCCACAAACCTTCCAACAGCACCATTTAACTATAACATCTAAAATAAATACAAGACAGTGTGCATCTGCATGCACATGATATTTGCACACATCCCAAAAGGCAAGGGGCTCTCTGACTGCTCTGCATCTTGAGTGGTCGACAGATCTGCAAGGCTTCTCACAGAAGCTGTGGAAGGAGCTGGTCCCCAGCCAGGGAATCCACCAGGGGTGCCACCAGGAAGGCCACCAGGAAGGCCACCAGGAAAACCATACCTGGGCTGACAAAAGGCTCACTTTGGCAAGACCAATTCAATGAGCCAACAATCACCAGTCCCCTGAACAATCACCAGTCCCCAGAACAATCACCAGTCCCCTGAACAATCACCAACAATCACCAGTCCCCAGAACAATCACCAGTCCCCAACAATCACTGCCAAAGCAACCCTGGCCAGCTAGAAGGTTGAGGTGGTCCATGCATATGCCTTGGCCATCAGAAGGCAGGAGATCCCCAAGGAAGACCAGGGTGGCAATCACAATGCATTCACATAATTATCAACACTAATGATGACCAATGATGGCAAACATGACTGGTGATGATGATGACCATGATAAAGATGATGATCAGGATGGATAGATTCTGCTTCTTCTAACTCTATATTATACCCAAGTTGCTCTGGCAAACTCGATTTCCTTCTCTTCCTTCTGTGTGCTGGCATTGCTAAAGTAGCAAGGGCGATCAGCCAGGCAGCTCTGGGCAAAGCAAATGGCTGCCAATGGACTGGCTCCCTGCTTCACCAACCAAATGCCCCAATGAATATACACATATATATATATAAATACATATTATATATCATATATATATAGTTAATTACCTTATTGTACCTTATTTGGAATTAGTTTGAATGATTTCATCATTGTTTGGGATTTACAATACATTGGAATTATGTTGAATGATATTCTCATTATTTGGACTTTTACATTGGAATTATTTTGAATGAATCAGAATTATTTTGAATTACTAATAATATATTATAATTATGCATAAGTTCCCAAAAGTAAGCTCATCAGGTTCCTTTTGATCAAGCCCCCTGTTCCTGTCAAAGATATTTGACATAGCCATGGACAGATCCACCATGTTTAATAGTCAAACCATCTATTTCTACGGGCCATGTTCCATGGCTATGTTAAATAACCAGAGGGTAATGTTGGTAAAACAACAACATATCACCATATTTTTGATAGTTGAAATCCCACCCACAAAACTGGTGATTTTGGGGATGGTTTATGGCATTGTTTTAACCACATTATATTCTTCAGATGGTTTATAATGGAAAATCCTATGAAAATTGATGATTTAGAGGGTACCCCCCATTTTAGGAAACCTCCATATCTCATGATTGGATTCTCCTAAACAAATATATATATATATATAATATAATATATAATATATAATATATAATATATACTATATATAATATATAAGATATAATATATAATATATAATATGTAATATATAATATGTAATATATAATATATAATATATATGATATATATATATAATTATATATATACATATTCTTCAGATGTTCACCAACCCTTCACCATTGCAAGTTCTGAAAAAACACGACCGACTTCCCTGGTGGCGCGCCTTGTCACCGGCTTGCAAAGAGCCACCGAGCACATCGGTGCGCAGCACAAAAAGATCCTGCGTGGCGCTGGATGTCGCTTGGACATTTCCAGGAGAGTTCCATGGATTTCTAGGAAAAAATCTGGGTTGAACTATCCGAAATTTGGATTTAACCATCTGGTTATTTAACAGTTTGCCATGGAAAGATCCACCATTTTTTATAGGTAAACCATCTATTTCTATGGTCCATTTCCCATGGCTATGTTAAATAACCAGAGGGTAACCATCCAACATGGGAGATGTAAGGCAACAAATATCACATCCAATGGATTGAAGGAATGATTTATGGTTGAAACCTTTTTTTTACATCCAAACTTGGGGTTGTTTTTTTTTCCAAGTGCCAACGTGGGGAGATCAAACAACAACAAATGGTGGTGTTCACTTGAAAAAATGAGGAAGTAGCCCCTGGATATCCCAAAAAATGATGGTTGCTGGTTGTAACTTGCTGCAGGCCCATAGCTCGCAATGATGCCGTGAATTTGCCTGACCCTGCAAAAATCTCAATGCAAAACATCTGATGTAGCAGGCGCCGCGAGGATCCTTCACACAACTTGATCTCAGCTGTCACTCACCACAATTTACCACTAACCAAGCCCGAGTCACTGGCATTTGTATCGCCGGGAAAGTACCAATCAAACATCATCTTGCACGCGTGGTACTCGGGAAGATGAAACGCACACTGCTCATTCCAGCTGAACCAACGGCCGGACTTCGCTACGCCCCCCTTCAACCGAAAGGATTGAAGCTTGGATGGAATTGCTTCCCAAACCTCACGGTCAGAAGCTCCAACCATGTTGAAGTCTAAGGCGATCCTGTGCTTGCTCCAGATAGGCCCAACAGAGACCATCACCACCGGAGGTTTGGAGGTTCTTTCCGATGAGGCCCTTCGGCACATTTGGTCCTCTGCCGCGTCGATTCTGGCCTTTCTTGCCTTTTCCTTTCCCTTTTGGTTGATGAGGAGAAAGTCATCTCAGACGTATCATTCTTTTAACCAAAGAGGATGGCTATCTTTGGGCTTACACACGTTCCCAAAACGCATTGGGAACACACCAAAAATCACCGACTATATAAACAAACCCAAGACAATAATTTTTACTAATAGTTCATAATTCCCCACCTGCCAGGTCAGGGTTGTTAGATTTTATCAGAGTTGTTCTTCTCCTCCTCGGCTAGCTCTTCTCCTCTTCCTTCTCCTCCTCCTCCTCGCCTCCTCCTCCTCCAGTTTCTCCTCGACCATGTCTGCATCAACTTCCACCTGCACTTCCGCCTTGCCAACTCTTCGCCAAGCTCTTTGCCAACTCTCTTCGCCAAGCTCTTTGCCAACTTCCCAGCTCAGTGTGCACCGCTGGACCTCAACCTGGGACCTTCCCAGCTCAGTGTGCACCGCTGGACCTCAACCTGGGACCTGCCCAGCTCAGTGTGCACCGCTGGACCTCAACCTGGGACCTGCCCAGCTCAGTGTGCACCGCTGGACCTCAACGGCCAGATAGAATGCCAGAAGATATGCCAGATAGAATGTCAGATAGAATGCCAGAAGATATGCCAGATAAAATGCCATGAGATATGCCAAATAGAATGCCAGATAGAATGCCAGAAGATATACCAGATAGAATGCCAGAAGATATGCCAGATAGAATGCCAGAAGGTATGCCAGATAGAATGCCAGATAAAATGTCAGATAGAATGCCACAAGATATGCCAGATAGAATCCCAGAAGATTTGCCAGATAATATGCCAGAAGATATGCCAGATAGAATGCCAGATAGAATGCCAGAAGATATGCCAGAACATCTGCCAGAAGATATGCCAGATAGAATGCCAGAAGATATGTCAGATAGAATGCCAGAAGATATGCCAGATAGAATGCAGAAGATTTGCCAGATAGAATGCCAGAAGATATGCCAGATAGAATGCCAGAAGATTTGCCAGATAGAATGCCAGAAGATATGTCAGATAGAATGCCAGAAGATATGCCAGATAGAATGCAGAAGATTTGCCAGATAGAATGCCAGAAGATATGCCAGATAGAATGCCAGAAGATTTGCCAGATAGAATGCCAGAAGATATGTCAGATAGAATGCCAGAAGATTTGCCAGTAAGAAAATGTATAAATGTCATGGTGGGGATCGCACGAAGTAAAGTAATTGTTTTTATGGTTGCTAATAATACTTCTAATTCTTACCAATTGTGAAATCCCTAACGTTGGTTTAACGAACTTGGTTAAAAGACACAAAAAAAAACTCACGGGATCAGTCAGGAACGTATCTCAGGTGGCCTTGGCGAACTGTTGCTGTAGCCTTGGTAGCAAATGCTAAGTTTATCTGGTTGGTGGTTTCAACCCCTCTGAACAATATTAGTCAGTTGGGATGATTATTTCCAATATATGGAAAAAACATGTTCCAAACCACCAACCAGTTATTATCATTTTTTGTTTTTGATGACCACACAATGCTAAGTTTTTCCTCAATTACTTTCAATATCTTGGTACATTATCAATTTACCTATTAATTTAGCTATATCCCATTAAATCATTGCCAATCTCAGATACCTGCAAAAAATAAATTCTTAGCTGGTGAACGTAGATAATCCTATTTATACCAAAAGACTACTTAGGATTAGTTTCTAACCATCCAAGATTGACCTAGTTTTTGCGAACAAACATGATGAAACGCAATTTTTGCATTTTTTGTTTCAACGACTGCCAAGCTATCTCAGCCAATAAACATCTTCAGGCAACAAGAAAGGGAACCTAAATTGCAGCCGCTGAATTCAAACGTCAAGATACCCAAACAAAATCATAGTTTTAGTCCTGGGTCCCCAAGCAGTCAAAATCGAAGTTGAAAGGAACAAACAAACGTAGCTTGCATTTCCAAAATATAGGGATGCAATTGTATTGAAAGCCTAGCAAGTATTAGCAAGTGGTCATGTTTAGTGTTTACTTATCACAAGATTTGGATCAATCTCTGTGATCAGTTTTTCCCGACAACGCCTGCGAAGGGTTCTTCGTAAAAAAGTAGCCGTTATAATACATCTTCACACCCTCACATCTGCTGATCTACGTATCTTCACACCTTCACATCTGCTGATCTACATCTTCACACCTTCACATCTGCTGATCTACACCTTCACACCTTCACATCTGCTGATCTACATCTTCACACCTTCACATCTGCTGATCTACATCTTCACACCTTCACATCTGCTGATCTACATCTTCACACCTTCACATCTGCTGATCTACATCTTCGCACCTTCACATCTGCTGACCTACATCTTCACACCTTCACATCTGCTGATCTACATCTTCACACCCTCACATCTGCTGATCTACATGTTCACACCTTCACATCTGCTGATCTACATCTTCACACCTTCAATCTGCTGATCTACATCTTCACACCTTCACATCTGCTGATCTACATCTTCACACCTTCACATCTGCTGATCTACATCTTCGCACCTTCACATCTGTTGACCTACATCCTCAAACCTTCACATCTGCTGATCTACATCTTCACACCCTCACATCTGCTGATCTACATCTTCACACCTTCACATCCGCAGATCTACATCTTCACACCTTCACATCTGCTGATCTACATCTTCACACCTTCACATCTGCTGATCTACATCTTCACACCCTCACATCTGCTGATCTACATCTTCACACCCTCACATCTGCTGATCTACATCTGCACACCTTCACATCTGCCGATCTACATCTTCGCACCTTCACATCTGCCGATCTACATCTTCACACTCTCACACCTGCTGACCTACATCTTCAGACTCTCACATCTGCTGATCTACATCTTCACACCCTCACATCTGCTGATCTACATCTTCACACCCTCACATCTGCTGATCTACATCTTCATCTGCTGATCTACATCTTCACACCTTCACACCTGCTGATCTACATCTTCACACCCCCACATCTCCCGATCTACATCTTCACACCCTCACACCTGCAGATCTACATCTTCACACCTTCACATCTGCAGATCTACATCTTCACACCCTGACATCTGCAGATCTACATCCTCACACCTTCACATCCGCAGATCTACATCTTCACACCCTGACATCTGCAGATCTACATCTTCACACCCTCACACCTGCAGATCTACATCTTCACACCCTGACATCTGCAGATCTAGATCTTCACACCTTCACACCTGCAGATCTACATCTTCACACCCTGACATCTGCAGATCTACATCTTCACACCTTCACACCTGCAGATCTACATCTTCACACCTTCACATCTTCTCTCGCTCTTCTTTCTATCTCTCTCTTAAGGCGGGGGCGGTGCCGCCGGAGCACCACGAAATGCAACCTTTTTGCACGAAATGGACGTTGGACGTCAAAAACTGAGGTAAAAGTGCGATTTTACTTGGCCCACCGCAACCTTTTCGCACGAAATGGACGTTGGACGTCAAAAACTGAGGTAAAAGTGCGATTTTAGTTAGTCCATCGCAACCCTTTCGCACGAAATGGACGTTGGACGTCAAAAACTGAGGTAAAAGTCCGATTTTAGTTAGTCCATCGCAACCCTTTCGCACGAAATGGACGTTGGACGTCAAAAACTGCGGTAAAAATTGCGATTTGGAGGTGTCCATCGCAACCCTCTCGCACGAAATGGACATTAATTGCGATTTTGAGGTTTCAATCGCAACATTTACACGCGAAATGAGGTTCGATCGCCAAAAAATGATGTAACATTGCTATTTCACGGGTCCGGTCTCTGTGTGTGAAAGTGTTTGTGTGTAAAAGCTTCTGTGTGTAAAAGCCTCTGTGCGTGAAAAGTGGTTGAGTGTAAAAGCGTCTGTGCGTGAAAGTTTCTGTGTGTAAAAGGGTCTGTATGTAAAAGCGTCTGTGTGTAAAAGCATCTGTGTGTAAAGGAGTCTGTGTGTAAAAGCCTCTGTGTGTAAAAGCTTCTGTGTGTAAAAGCTTCTGTGTGTAAAAGCTTCTGTGTGTAAAAGTGTGTAAAATGGTCTGTGTGTAAAAGTGTCTGTGTGTAAAAGCGTCTGTGTGTAAAGGAGTCTGTGTGTAAAAGCCTCTGTGTGTAAAAGCGTCTGTGTGCAAAAGCGTCTGTGTGTAAAAGCTTCTGTGTGTAAAAGAGTCTCTGTATAAAAGCGTCTCGTTTCTTCACACCCACGGAATGATGGTACTGAGCTGTTTCGGGAATGTGTGTGGGAAGTACCATAGTAAAATGAGATAACACATGTCATTCGCAGCATGATGGTACCGAGCCTCCTGTGCACTTTTGTTGCTCACATTATATTTCTTCGTGTTTTCTTTCTATCTCCCTTTCTTTCTCTCTCTCTCTCTCTCTCTCTCTCTCCTTCTTTCTCTCTCTCCCTCTCTCTCTCTCTCTCTTTCTCTCGCTTTCTCTCTCTCTCTCTCTCACTCTCCCTTTCTCTCTATCTATGTCTCTCTGTGGTTGCAAGACACGTGTCATCCATCTGATGCCCTTTACCAAGCAGCACAATGCATATGCATGGGTTGTCACAAGTATCCTCTTCTTAATCAATCTTACTTTTCACACCTTATCCCTCCATAGCTCATATAGAATTCACCAACCATTCACCGACTATCTTTTACGACTACCATCCTCAGAGCTGCTTGAAAAACATCTTTTTCGCTCTCGGGCCAACCGTCGTCTAGTTTTCACCCACTAGTCATGATGAGAACAGAGCTTCCTCAGCCCCTGTTCTCCCATGATCATCATCCTCATTGGATGACCAGATATCATGGCCAATCGATGGTTACCCTCTGGTTATGACTAACATAGCCATGGAAAATGATGGCCCATAGAAATAGATGGTTTACCTATTACAAATGGTGGATCTTTCCATGGCTATGTTAAATAACCAGAGGGTAACAGAAACTCTGCAAAAATAGATGTTCAATCTTCAAGTTGATCTACCCTCCCAGTGTCCAACATGGCTAGCTGGGAATCCTTGAACTAAATTTCACCATTAATCACCATTAATAACCATTAATCACCATTCTTTACCATGATAAATTGTGATATGTTGCTGGACTTCCGTCGCGACTTTCAATCAAACGCCCATCCCACGGTCCTGGTTGGTGCCTTGAGGAACAATAAAACCGAAGCCCTCGGCAAATCCACCGTGAGGCACGAGGACAGAAGATGTTCGGATGGACACAAGCTACCTTGATATAGAGTTGATTTAACTATGGTTGATATAGTTGGTATATGTATATATATATATATGTAAATGTATAAATCTAGTTTATACCTGAATAGTATAGTTGATATATAGTTGATATATAGTTGGATAGATCAATTTATATATAGTAGCTGTAGTTGATATACGAATGCACTAACCTAACATGTTCGGCCACTTGGTGATGATTCCCCGCAATCTAACCATGATTCCAGCGAGGTCACTATACCGTGTCGCGACATGAGGTCACTATACTTCAACTAGACCTATGATTCGCAAGCAAGATCTAACAGCAGATAGTACATAGTACTTAATTTTCAGATAGTACAAAACCTATAATGCAGATTTAGATTTACATTTTAACATTGATATTAATAATATCAGATAATATCAGATAGGCTTGCTAGTAAAATGACTATTCTAACATCATTATTATATGGTGCTTTCCATAGTCATGGGGGCTATCCCTTTTTCGCTGGATGCATCTCCCCATGGAAAATCACCATCAATGGATGATCTGGGGGTAGTTTATTCTATTCAGATGATATTTGCTGATAAATAAAACTATCTAAGATGTACATCTTCTAATGATTTGCAAGCAATCTTGAAATATTAGTTCTCCTATCAGATAGTACAAACCTCCAATGTGCTCATATTTGCTCACAAACTTATAATAATAAACAACACATCCTTCTGGCTATTCTTTTTTCATAATTCATTGCTTCCTACAGGGTGGTGCCACAGTTCGTTAGCTAAGTTGGTGCCAATAACTCCAATAACTATGGTTTTTGTTGGTGATATATCTATAGTTTTCATGGGATTATAACCCATGTATGGTATTATTATAGTGATTATAACCCTTCTATAACCCATGTATATAACCCATGAATGGTGATATATCTATAGTTAATGGGTTTATAACCAATTTATAACTGGGGTGGCACCACCTTGTATGGCCAGCAAAATCCAATACACAAAGAGGAGATGGGATTTGGAAAACCAGCCACCGGGCTATCACTGAAAATCAAAGGTGGATTTCGTGGCTTGGATCCTTGACTTTTGTTCGATGATTTGGCACCAGCTTTCATGAAGCCGATGCCAACAAGGACCCAAGTTTTTGGATGCATTCTGCCATCCAATTTAACCCAATTATGGTATGAACGGGGGTGGTTTTTCTGAGGTTTACTGACTATTATATGTGTATATTCCGATATATATATATATACATATATGTATGTATATATGTATGTATGTATATATGTATATATGTATATATGCTACTATATTATATATTATTACAATATATTATATATTATATTATCTTATATTATATTATATTATATTATATTGTATTATATGTTATTATATAATATTTTTTTTAAAATATTTTATTGTATTATATTTTATTATATTTTATTATATTATATAATATTGTATCATATATATATATATTCTACTGTATGATGTTCTTTTAATTCACCAAGCGATCTGAATCCATATGAACATACTGTTTGCAAGATTAATCCATAGGCTCTAAGTGGACATCCAATGGACAAGTAGAGGAAACTAGAAACTGATCTTATGGATCCATCTGGTAAGAAGCAAGGGCCGTGGAGGGATGGTGCCTTGGTTATCAAGAACTTTTACTGCTTATCCAATGGGAAAAGGACATCTATTGGTTAATCATTACTGGGAAAAGCTCATCCCACTTAGTAAGTAGATGTAAGTAGGTGATATCCCTGGTTGGTGGATGTTGGTGGTATACCTACCCCTCTGAAAAATGATGGAGTTAAAGTCAGTTGGGATGATGAAATTCCCAATATGGGAAAATCAAAGCCATGTTCCAAACCACCACCCAGTTTAAGACAACACTACGTCCTAGCAACAATTCCCAAAGTTGCAGGCCTTCTTGGATTCCGTGAATGTGCAGAGACAACTTCGGATTCCGTCATGGATCGGGAGGTTGATGTCTGTCTTTTACTCACCCAGGCTAAGGGGAAAAACGTATTGGGGCCGTACAAGAGTAAAAAATCCACCTGAAGTGGACTTGCCGGACAGGCGATCTCCTGCAAAGTCAGCGTCCACGTACAATCGCAGTTCTAAGTTCTTGGATCCTGTGGGACATTCTATGATCCCGCTAGGCGAAAATCTGAGGTTTGCCAGCAGAAAATGAATCAAAATCCATAGAACCACAATTGAATATTTAATATCTATCATATTTTCCCAATGTGATGTCTTATCCCAATAGTGGTTAAGTGGATAATATCCATATTTAATATTACCTATGGATAATCCATATTTATAGGTGTCTTATCCCAATTTAATAATTAATTACATCCTATTTATCATATTCAGGAATCATCCAAGAAAATGACTACCACTCACTGGGATTTGTCTTCGTTTCTAGTTAGACATGAGCCCAGTGACCTATGATTCAATGGTAGGTCTACTGAGCACAACCTGAAAAGATCCCATGGTTTTCTGTTGGTCAAATGGGTAAGGGAGGCAGCTAGGGACAGCATCTAACATTGGATGAAGCATTCCTTGCAGGGGTTGCCAACCCTATCTCTTTTTTGTTGCACCAGGCAATGAAAAAAAAAGCCGTCTATGGTCATCCCAGATGCTCCATGTATGGAATATTTACCTACATTTCCCCCAAAAATGGTCCAAATGTAGGTAAATATTCCATACATGGAGCATCTGGGCATGATTGTAGCTGGTCAAAATTGTGGAACTACCCAATTTCACCGACCATTCACCCAGCTTTACCCTGCAACCTAATTCACGTCTTGTCGCACCGGCAATGACAGCACTGGATACCTAATGCATGTCGCTTGGTCTAAAAAATTGATACCCTATTGCATCGGCTGGTAAATCATCATTTTCCTTATTGATCTTATTATCCATATGCTCCATGTATGGTATATTTACCTACATTTGGGTGATTTTGGTGATTTTTAGGGCAAATGTTGGTAAATATTCCGTACATGGAGCATATGGGTATGATTGCCATATATTGAAAGTAGACGCCATTTTCAGACACAAATAGACATCAGATTGGTGGTGATACATCCCATTGTTTCCCCATTACCAGTTTTGACAGGAAGGGCCCCCCTAGTTGCTACAAGTTGGTTTATAAACCCATCTAGCTAATTATAATTAATTATAGTTATATCATATATCACAAACCAGCCCATCTAACTATAGTTAATCTGATTGGTGGTTGACCTACTAACCACTATTAACCAAATTAACCACTATTAACCACTATTAACCACTATTAACCCATTGTTTAAGGGTAATTATATATAGTCAATTATAGTCATAGTTATATCCCCAAAGCCCAACAGCTCACCGAGCCTTGTCGCTGTTGTATTTTTTCACCACTCCGGTGTGCGCCATGGTCAAAACTCGAAAAGGTCGATACAAACCTGTGGGGACGGAAGGATCTGTGAACTGCCAGCCCGGGCAACTCTTGGCTTTTTAAGGCTTGGGATGTGGTTTTGTATCTGCAAAAGGGATGAACAGTGGGGTTTACCTCCAAATTTTGCCAATTTTCTGCAACATGTATGATCATATATAGAAAAACATGATGATTATCCAGTGGATGGAATGGGGTACTAGTGGATATCCCACTTTCAGACACACCCAGATGTGCGTTCCGCCCATTTGTGTCATCAAACATGCCGCCCATCAGAGATCTCCTACCATGGATGTTTGTAGTTGGGAACATCAAATTAAAATGATTATAAATCGTGAATGTGCCATCGCCATGTTTGATAAATATAATAAAATATAATCCATATGAATGTGCCATCCCACTAGAACTATTATTATAAATAAATATCTCTGGGTAAATTATAAGATTTCACTAACCTGAATTAAGGCCATTTGGGGATGATTTCCCTTATTAACCATGATTTCCAGTGAGGTCGCAGTGAGGTCGTTATAATTTACCCTGATATCTCTAAATCATAGTTCTAGTGGGCAAATCATCGGACGAAATAGAGGATCCAAACCTCCAAATCCATCTCCCGGTGGCTGATCTTCCAAATCCCATCTCCTCTTTGTGTATTGGATTTGGCTGGCCATACAAGGCGGTGCCCCCCCCCCAGTTATAAATTGGTTATAAACCCATGAAAACTATATAGTATAAATGGGATTATAACCCAATATTATTGTTGGTTAAATGGGATTATAACCCGATAAAATCTTTATATCACCTATAAACCATAGTGAAACTGGAGTTATTGGCGCCAACTTAGCTATCGAACGGGGGCACCACCTTGTATCAATGCCATATCCAAATTGCCCCCTTTTGGGTGTGCTCCAGCGATTTCAGTATTTCTAACTAGTGAGATCACGCATGCTTGTTGATGCTTCTCGCGAAGATCCTCCAAATGCAAATGACGTGTCTGGTCAAGTCAAACAACTTTCATCTGGTTGGTGGTTGACCTACCCCTCTGAAAAATATGAGTTCGTCAGTGGGGGTTACTATTCCCAATATATGGAAAAAAAACATGTTCCGAACCACCAACCAGTCATAGTCAAACAGTGCTAAATCCTCATATCACATGCCCCTACTGGCTAAAGCAAAGATCCAGTTACCAGTTACCAATCTTGGACCCCCTTAAGCAAAGCTGGGTTTAGACACATTCACCTGGTTGATTCCAAGCAACCAAGAGTCGCAAAAAGTTGGCCATTTAGCTGGGCAGTTAACGTGCGTATCCACTTGTAGCAAAGTATCAAACATCTTAAACTATGTTGAACTAGCCCATCCAGTTGTTTTAAACATGGTAAAACCATAGTAAACATGGTGAAACCATCACACTAACCATGCCGATCCAGTTGTTTTACCATGTTTGACTCAGGTAATGTCAGCTATATCCAATCTTTACTGCCGGTGAAACTCACCAAAATCCTTGTTTCACAACAGACATGCCATCCAGGGTTGATCCAGAATTCCCTCATTGAATGGATAACATTATTGCTATCAATAATCCACAACTTATTGAATGCCAATTATCACTATTCACTGGCTATTCACGGTTATTCAGTAGCATCATTATTGTGTTTTGTCTATACCCGCATTTGTCATGATTGGTTCTATCCCCATTGTATCTACATTCTACATGCCATCACCATGAGGTTTACCTCTTAATGTTTGATGACTAGTTCCCCATCATCTTCAGCTTAACGATCCATTTGGATTTGCTTTAGGACAATCCATCCCATTATATCCATTATATCCACATTAACTGGTTGGTGCTTGAGCCAGCCCCTCTGAAAAATGATGGAGTTCGTCAGTTGGGATGATGAACTTCCCAATATATGGAAAGTCATAAAATTCATGTTCCAAATCACCAACCAGTTTAAATATCTTGCTACATTATCAATTTACCTATTCATTTAGCTATATCCCATGAAAAATCATTGCCAATCAGCATGGTATCCATTCAGTATGTATGGTATCCATTCATGTTACCCAACCTTTCTGGGATTTCTCCCAGAATTCCCACGACCAAGAAACTGAGGTCTGATAGCCTTGGCAAATGATTGAAACTGAGCTGGGCTCGCTCTCTCTCTCTCTATGTATAGATATAGATAGTATATTCAATGTCTTCATCATCATATATATATACACACACTGCGCTGTGATCATATATACATATATATATATATAAATATACATATGTCATATGACTGTTTTGCACATGTATATATTTATATATATATAAATACATATAACATACTTATAAGCCCCATAGCCAATTCTTCAGCCAGATTTCTCAGATTTGACCAACAAAACATTCCTTCCAACGCAAGGGTCATTTGGGTACTGTGGCCAACTCGAATTACCCAAAAAGGTCAACATTGAGATTCCTTTGGCCCAGGTGTCATTCAGTGAATGTATGCAAACTGAGATCACTGCGCAGCAGAAATTGGTCCTCTTCGTCCCGGAATCGGATCATGGGAAAATTTGCAACCAACCCCCATAGTTGGTGGACAGAAGGCATATTTTTCTGTGGATTTTCCATTACAGCGCTCCCCAAAAGATAGAACAGTATTTAATTTATTACCATTTTCGTGTGAAATAAAGTCAATATCATACATAACATATGCTAAATATAACTATCAATACACATATCTATATGTAAAAATCATGTGAAATAAATCTTAACCCTATATGTGTTTTACTTTTCTATCTTTTTTGGGATGAGCATTAAATCAGTGCAATTTCTTTTTGGAAAATGATAGACGCTCTTGGACTCTTTGTATTTCCGGCCCTGATCGCCCCAGAACCGAGGACCCAGCCGTCTTCAAAAAAGGAAAGCAAGATTGCTTTCAAGGCCTGGAAGAGTTGTATTGAACTTGCAGAAGCTTCGGTCTGAAATCCTGCCAAAATGTCGAGATGTTTGGATCATGTTGTTTTTGTTTTTTTCTTAATCGACGTTGCGGATCTGTTCAGTGATCTCCAGGCTAAAGCAATATTGCCTCAAGAGCCAAAATCCAGCAAAGCCGAAAACCGGACCCTTGGGATGTCAATTTCTACCCAAGCTCCCAAGCTATATAATTTACCCAGATATATGATATTATATAATCTGAGTATATGATTTATCATGTGTATATATATATACTACTTGGTGGTTTCAACCCTCTGGAAAATATGAGTTCGTCAGTTGGGATGATGAACTTCCCAACTGACTGGAAAAATGTTCCAAACCACCAGTATATCTGGGTAAATTTATCATTCTCTACTAGGCTTTCCGCAAAACCTCCAGTTTTTTCATATGGATCCCACGGGATATCACCATGGCGCTGGTTTCTGCGCATGGACAAACACATTTGAGCACCAGTCTGCAACGCTTCAAGAGCATTCACAAAAAAAAACTGTTGGGATATTGCCAACTGAAAATTCCGAACTTGAAATAGTCGATTCCGAACTTGAAAGTGCAAACAACAGTCACCCATTAAACTACCCAACTAAAACCTTTGCACAGCCAAACACCACAGTTTTCTCGGCTAAATCCGCATTTTCGCTGACCAAAAACCATCCTACTTGCAGGTGCAGTTCCAATTTGACGTGGATAAATTCTACCATGGTCATACAGGGCTCATAACCCAACTTATGGTTACTTTTAGACCAGGGTAACATACATACATATATATATATATAGATAGAGATACATATACACATGTATGTATATATATATATAATATGTATATGTATATCACTATATATCTATCTATTGAATCACCCCCAGGTACCCCAGCAGCCTGAGAGAATGCCCCCGCCCTCTTTTTGCCCACGCAAACAATCAGACTCAGGCGCCAAGCACTGCCCAATCTGCGGCGAAAAGAGGCTTATAGTCATGTGAGCCATATAGTAACCCCCAAACTGTAGAACTGCTATATGTTAAATCGTGAAGTGACAAAGTTTCACATAATTTATCAATTTAGCAATTTCTGCAGAGTTTATATAAGTTAAAATATACATTGTACATTACACAAAATCTGCATGCACATAGACATGACAACATGCATCAATATCTCCCCCTCCATACATCCATACTCCAAAATTACACAAAGCCAACAACAGTTGTACAAAGTTTGGTTTCTCAGGAAATAGCCTACCAAGTCAACGGCTGGAAAACAAGTCAAAACAAGCATGTCCAGAAATGGGGTAAAATCACTGCAGCTTGACTCTGAGTTGGGCAATGATGATGATAAATCACGGGATTTCGTGATACTATGTTTAAACCATATCTTTATAATATCCGTTCCAAGAAAGGATTGACCAACATGCATAGTATACAATTAAATTGGAATACAATCAAAACATTAGCAACCACACATCATATTTCAATCAATATTCTTATACAAAACCCAAGTTGCTGCCGAGTCAAATCTCAATCACCCCCTACCGCCTGATTAACCTGCCCCAAACCCCGAAATAGCTTGCTTTTGTGCGCCGGCTATTTTCGGGGATCCGACAAAACGCATTTTTCTTATTTGTAAATTGATTTACGGAAGAGATTTCCGTTGTTTGAAACTAGCATCATACTAGCATCCTTTCGAATGTAACAGTCCTGGAATATCCCTAGTTATCTTTGCACCAGTTGTTATACAAATGGTTCATCAACCACGTCTTAGGTCTTTGCCCGGATGCAGCCACATATCCCATATATTCATATATCATATATCCATTGATAATTATGTTACATTAGATTGTCATAGGCTGGTTGATAAAATACTCACTAAATCCCAACTAATGATACGTGCATATTATATACCCTCTGGTAAAATAACATAGCCATAGCTATGGAAATTCACCATCTTTAATAGGTAAATCAACTATAAATGGGCCATTTTCAATAGCTATGTTAGATTACCAGAGGGTATATACGATAATCTGGCTAAACCAGAATGATAGTAAGTGATAGTAAGTGATAGTAAGTGATAGTAGGTGATAGTAAGTGATAGTAAGTGATAGTAGGTGATAGTAAGTGATAGTAAGTGGGATGGTACCCAATTGTTACCCACTCATGTTAGGTGATGTACCTTTTGATACTTACTTGGACTTGCTTAAGGGGCTCAAGCAAAAAACAACGAAGATGCTCTTTTTCGATGTTCCAGTCATGGTGCCTGGATTTCCCATCAAAGACACATTCATCACCGACTAAACAAAGCCAGGCTAATGATCGTTACTAATGATCTAATGGTTGATGATTACCTTTATGCTTACTAGTAATATGTCTGGTAAATCCATTAACCAATTATTACTCAGAGTAACCATTAGATGATGAAAACCAGGACCATTAGATCATGATCCCATTTATTTCAAGCTGCTTATTACCTCTGGTAATTCTGAAAATGGCCCATGGAAATAGTTGGTTTATCCATTAAAAATGACAACTTTCCAGTTCGCAAACTGTTAGTTTACCAGAGGCTACATTAATGAATAGTTAACCCATTAGATCAATTAACCATATTAAATAGATAATTAACCCTTTAGATCATTAACCATAACCATATATTATTAATCAATGCCAATCTTGGATACCCTGCAAAAAATGTTCTTAGCTGGTGAACGTAGATAATCCCATTGATACCCAGCAAAACGAGTTAGGATTAGTTTCTACCCATCCAGTCGATTGGCCTAGACTAGAGTTATCATTACTATAAAGCCAACAGTTCACCTGGTGATGTGAAAACCAACTTGGCTGCTTATACCCCTCCTTACCCATCTAAGATTGGCCTAGTATACAGTTAAGTATAGTGAATCCCCATAGATAGTTGATGTATATTCAGGTCAACAGTAATGAATATGGGAATGTAATGGACAATATGACATATGACATATATATATATATACATTGCCAATCTTAGATACCCTGCAAAAAAATAAATTCTTTGCTGGTTAGTAAATATTCCCATTAATACCAAAAGACTAAAGGATTAAAGTATCCATGCAAGATTGACCTAGTATACAGGATGGGACCCAGGTTATCTAAGATTGGCCTAATGGGTAAGTCCCTGTTTTACCCCAGTGCCGCATGGCTCCGCCTGGCGATTTCTAGCTGGGATAGCCAGCAGCTTTTCCATCCAGCCACACCTTGGTTCTTTTGGGAAATCCCAAACGAAAACATGTCCAGAAACCATAGGAAAACCATAGGAAAATCATGATTTACCTAACAAACATAGGGATTTCATCGGAAGTTTCCTTAGTCATGGGGGCACCCCTTGATCACTGGATGGTTTATTTCATGGACAATCCGAAAATAACATTGATGATTTAGGGGTACCCCCATTTTAGGAAATCACCAAATATTGTTTGAGAATGGCTCTATGATAGTGAATTCAAAGTGGCTTGATAATTAAGTCAATATTTCCATAGCCACTTTTTTAAATAGTCGTTGGTAGATTAAAATTATAGTGATCATACCCTCTGGTAGTGTTCCACGTAGCGAACTAGAAAATCATCGTCATTCATAGGTAAATCTGAAGAATCCTATATGATCCTATATGTCATTATGTATCATGTGGTTGGGAAACCCTAAGTAGCTCTTTTGCTCCCCAAAACAAATGGGAAATATGAACAATTCTCTATAGCTCCTTAGCTCCGGCGTAACCTCTGGATTATAATTTCATCAATAAATCGATGGTGACATGTCCCATTGAATTCCATGCAATCTGATGAAATCTAAAACATCCTATGTCACTAATGTGGGTAAAACAATAAGAAATCATCTTCTAAATCACCAAAAAATAGGTGGTATATATTTTTTTTAATGGCATAAACTATTCCCAGTCATGGGTGGTTTATGGCATTGTTTTACCCACCATAGACACATCCAGAACTTCATGGTGATCCCTTCCATCTTGGGTTCCCGCAGCAAAGCTGTCAGAGACGGACAGGGCCACCTCTTTACCCGCCATGGACTTGTATGAAAACCTGAAAGCAGTGGGACATATTGGGACATGGAAAAAACATAGGTTAAACATGTGGAAAAAATTGGATGTTAGTCGGACCATGGGATTTGAGCAGCAGAAGAAGTAATTACTCAATAATGTCAAATAAGCATTGTGGATGCAAGTGAATAAACATACTGAGTGTGGATGCAATCACACATGTGAATACACAAACCAACATTAGGGATCACACCAAAGTTGCCGAGAAGGCGGGGCAAAGACCCGCCGGTGTCATCATGGTTTGCTGGAGAATTACTTATAGATAACTCTCCCGAACCCACACCTTCATTTACAGTGCAGGTGAGTTGCCCATATTTCCCACATGTTCCTGTGATTTTCCCATTGCAATCCGCGATTGCTCCAAATTTTCTTAGGGTTTTCCCAGTCAGCCATGTTTGATCTGGACGAGTCCGTTGGCTGGCTCTTGCTCATATGGAAGCTCAAAAGCTAACTATCGGTTAATTTGTTTTGGATTAGATGATTTACAATTATCTAGTAGATAACAAATTAATTGTTCACCGAAAAATTCTCGGATTAAAACTAGTTAGAAATATTTAGATCATAGTGATTCGATGAATCCCAGTTTTACTCCCCGCCCTTAGTTGCTTAAATCCCTTTCGTGGTTTCCCCAATCATTTACCCCTGGATCTCCCGTGGATACGCCGATCCAAGTGGCCTCTTCTCCTCAACCCAAATGTCCAGGGTCCACTTGTCATTCTCAATGGACCTTGGCCCAGCGCGGATTTGGGGGTATCCACATTTTAGGACACCTGTATATGGGGATACATAGAATATAGATATAGAGGTTTCCAAAAAAAACATGTGATTTTTCAAGCTTGGGATATAAAATAAAGATATCCATTATATCTACAAATAT